GGGCTACTGTAGAAACATGGTAGTTCAACATGGCAGACTCCAGCTCATTCTAAGGTAATGAAAACACATATTATAATAGGTATTAGGTAATTACACACTAATGAAAACATATCTATGAATATTATATTTCATTTCTGACAAAATGACTAAATGTTACACTCTGGACCTTTAAATGAAGCTTCTCTGACCAGCAGACACTCGCATTATTTAAAAGGATATTGTCTGTTACTCTTTCCAAGAGTTGTCCCCTTCAGACATGTTGTGTACTTAATAGCTCCCATGTTTTTGTACAGCAAAATATGTAAAAGGAAGCAGGCTCTCCAACGACCTTGGAGGGACTGTAGCTGTTGTGCTTGCTGTCTTTTTTCAGCTGTTGGCAGCCAGGTGCACGTCAATATTCAATCCATAACGTTACTCGATGGGATGAGACAATTCCATATAGTCAAGGAGCTGCATCAGCACTTCTGAGTCAGGTCCTCCCTCATTGGCCAAGTGCACTCTGGACACACACACACACAGAACACAATTTCTCCGGTTCAATTTTACTCTACTGAGGTTCCCAACAAAATCAATGTGCTGTAATTGTTCTCTGGAAGGAGCTGTGCTAAGGATAAGAAAGACCAAGATGGAGGGATCTGGTTACTGTTGTTATGAATACTGTTTTTGATGAAACACCCAAAATTCATGGTCCCTAATTTTGTCAGTTTTTGTCATTTTCCAGTTCGGGGGAAGGGGCTTATTGCATCCGGAATTAAAACGAATATGGGCCAGGGGTGTATAGAGTGCATTTCATTTTGATCTCAACTACACACTTTTGAAGCTTTGTGAATGCATCTTGCAAAATCTTGATATCACAGACAGACAGACAGACAGACAGAGATATAAATATAGTATAATATATAGTATTTAAAACTGCTTTTCCTGCTACAGTAGGTGTCTCCAGGACCACACACACAGACTCACAACGTGATAACTATACAGCCACACACTGGTAACCATGAAACAACACTTCTGAAAAACAAGGGAAAAAAAGAAAAAGGTTAGAAAGGAGACAAGGATGTTCAGGGTTCATGGATCCTGGTGGACCCCTCCTGCCATGGTCCTGCTTGACTGCCATTGCTAATATTACTAATATTATTGTTGTTGTTATTATTACTATTATATCTACTACAGTTACTATAATGACTATAATCACTGCTCATTGTCCCCCATTGTTGTTGTCATCTTCTTCTTCTTCATGTTCATCATCAGTCACTACTATTAGTGTCTCTCTCTCTCTCTCTCTCTCTCTCTCCCTCCATTTCTCTCCCTCTCCAATTCAAATGGCTTTATTGGCATGACGTAACACTGTACATATTGCCAAAGCAATTAAAAATAATAATAGTAACAATAAAGGAAAATAATATTTACAATAAATTAATTATAATCTATACTGTTGGTAATACTGTAACTATGATTGACTCAATCACATCACAATCAATCAATCTCAGTCCATAAGTAATTAATTACAATGAATCAATCAATCAATCAGTTTGTGTTAACTAAAAAATGTCATTAAAACAGTGGTAAAGTAACTACAGTTAAAACAAGTAGTCTGTTGTCAATATAACAGTAATAACAAATTATTAAATATAATATATATAATATTAAAATATATTAAAATTAAATATTTTTTTCTCTTAAAGTTTTGAATTCAGGGCATGAGGTTAGAAAGTGCAGCTCTGTCTCTACCTGTCCTCTGTCACACTGGGAGCAGAGTCTCTCCTCTTCTGGTAGCCAGTTCTGTCTGTGGCGACCCGTTTCTATGGCCAGGCTGTGTTCACTCAGTCTGCACATTGTCAACATTTTTCTTAATTTAGGACATTTTATTGTGCTCAGGTAATTTGCCAGTGTGAATTCTCTTTTTAGGGTCAGATAACATTGTAATTTACTTTGTGTTTTGGTATTTTTTATATATTTTTTTTTTTTATTGTTTGGTTGGGGGGGGTTTGTTGGGGGGGGGTTTTTTTTTTTATTTTTTAAAAATTTAATTAATTTTTTTTTTTTTTAAGAGGGGGGGGGGGGTTTTTTTTCTCTGCTCACCCGCAGGAGCTCTTACGAACTCGGTGTCTATGATTGTTTTGTCCCTTTTATTTTTTTTTCCAGATCCCACCTAGAGCCAATAGAATTATGGTGTAAATGGAAATTTAGGATTATTGGATATGATTTTATTTTTTTTTGTAAGTGTCCCGATCTCTCACAGCCATTTGAGGTTTCCTGCCTCTGTAATGTTGAGGCAAGGTCAGTTTTTTTTTATTGTAATTTTGGGGGGTGTGAAAAAAAAAATTGTGTGAAACTTTTTTTTTTTTTTTAGAATCATTTTGTCTTTGCTGTTTGGGCCCGTAAATATATTCTCTCTCTTCTCTCCCTCCCTCCCCCCCCCCCCCCCCTCCCCCCTCTGCCTGAGTTTCTGCCTCTTAAAGGCAGTTTTTCTTCCAGTGCTTGCTCATGGTGGTACTGTTGGGTCTCTGTAAATAATATTATAAGGAGTTTGGTCTAGACCTGCTCTATTTGAAAAGTGCCCTGAGATAACTTCTGTTATGAATTGGCGCTATACAAATGGAATTGAATTTATCAACACGTGTCCTGCTGCCTTCAGATGCTGCAATGATTTCATGCACTGAAGGAGAAGCCTCTCATACAGTATGAAACCGCTTCTTACATATACTTTAAGAATTCAGTTTTATTTTTTGATGCCGAAATAAACACATCTCAAATTTGACTTTTTACATTTTCAGCATTATTCCATTATTGCTCCATTCCATTAGTTTGCTCCTGTTTACAAAGTCACCAAATTGATTGGTTGACTTGGCTTGAAACAGACTTGGTTCTGAGATGTCTCAACACTGTTGATGTTTAATGTTGATGTCTCTCAACAAATTACTTTGTGCCAGGAGATGTTGCTTTGCAGATTTTAGAGCAAGGAAAATGCTTGTGCTGGTTGTTGCACTGCCACACAAATTGGGCCCGTAATAGACCTTTTTCACAGCAGCCATCTTGGCATGAAACAGTAGGATAAACACAGATGTTACCCATTATACTAATTAAAGGACCAGTGTGTAGGAGGTCATCTAGTGGTGAGACTGCAGATGCAACCAACTGAATACCACTGGCCTTCTAATCATGTAGGATAAACTACAGTGGCCCCGAAACCTGCAAAAAAATCTGGGTTTGCTTATTCCAGTCTAGACTACTGTAGAAACATGCCAGTTCAACATGGCGGACTCTGTAGAAGCATTTTTTCTTCTCATGCATTTGGTCTCGGTGCTGAACAAAACTTATGTTGTTACTAATTATGTTTTGGGGAGTTAACTGTAATATTATTACTGAAATGTATTAGTAATGAGTTACACTAGTAGTTACTGGGGACAGTAATATTATTACTGTTATACTAATGTAATGCCTATGAACACTTCTCATGAACATGATGAACACAACCCAAATTACATCACCTAAAATGCAGGGGTTTGTCTGACTTTGCCACGTTTTACACACCACAAAGGGCCAAAAGAGGAAGATCAAAAATATGTGATGAAGGAATTCAGTCCAACAGAATATTCTACAAGATGACACAGACAGATAATAATGTTAGGGCTGTTACCATCAGCCTGCAAGAGGCAACAATAAGCGCATTTTGCATTAACATTTGACTGATGGATTTTTCCATCTATTAAGCAGTGTCAGATGTCTCCTTATAATGAGAAGGCTCAACTAGAGCTGCAGCTTAAAATGTCTGTACTTCCAGACGCACTGTCCCCTCTCGTTAGGCCTTTGTCATGTACAGTGTCTGACCTTGTGAGTGTGTCAGTGCTGAGCCTGAGCTGTAAGGCCTGCACTGTGCGTCACTCTCTTCCCTAACTTTGAGAAGAGCAGCGACAGCTAGAGAACGAGGTGAGCCGGGGGCAGCGCGTGTGTCATGCTTTTGAATGATTCATGGCACGTCCTAGGAATCAGGATGTCAACAGAGAGGAAAACAGGACAGCTTCACGTACTGGATGTTCATCTGAACTTAATCATTTAGGAAACTCACTAAAGTCTAATTTATATTGCACATCAGAGTCGGTCTGTAACAGGTTTCTGACTTAAAGGACCAGTGTGTAGCATTTAATGGAATCTCACACTGAACTGAACATTGCTCACATTTGTATTTGACGACCTGGGAATGAGAACAAGCTGTTCAGTGTGTAGGAGAAACTATGGTGGCTGCAAAACTTACAAAAAACACAGAAGACCCTGTCAGTGTTTGGTTTGTCCCATCTGGGCTACAGTAGAAACAGGGCAGACTCCATGGACTCTATTGGCATCTGGAGATATAAAAGGCTCATTCTAAGGTAAGGAAAAACACAATGTTTGCCTTCTAATCATGTAGGAGATTCAGGTAATTATACACTATTGCATTTCTGACATTAGAAATACAATATTATACACTGGACCTTTAAATTAGAAAATTAAATGAAAGGTTCTCAGAAAAATCTTAAACATGTCATCAACATTTTCATTAGGTCAGCTTGTTTCTCTGGTCACTTATGATCCAGACGTTCCGGAGGTTTCTACCGGGAGCCCAATTATCTGCAAAGGTCTCTCTAAAACAAACAGACCAATTGATTAAAACCGCTAAAAACAATCTTCTCATAACTAAAGATCCAGATGCCAATGACTAAAATCCTCAAAAAATAGAGTTAAAACCCACGAGATCTAAACAGTGGATGGTTAAAATGTGGCTTCAAACTGGAAAAAAAGTCAATGTATTTAGTCATTTATCATTTATATTATGCACTACAGGTTTTATATAGTATAAATAATATAATATCAAGAGTTATGATCTTCAAGACCACCCCCACTCCCCTCAACCTTCTGCCATTTGCTGTAAATGAACATTGATCAAGAACAGGAGCAAAACAGAATGGACTCCACTAGACCAATGAAGTTGTGCTGTGGTATCTTGCACTAACATGTTAGCAGTAGATCCTTTAAGTCCTGTAAGTTGTGAGGTGGCGCCTTCATGGATCGTACTTATTTGTCCATCACATCGCAGAGATGCTCGATTGGATTGAGATCTGGGGAATTTGGAGCATTGGCAGTGGACAGGGGTCAGCATGGCCACCTTGAACCAGCATTAACTTTATGCAGTTTGAGCTACAGTACCTCATCTGTTGTATGGGATACACAGGCCAGCTTTCGCTCCCCACATGCATTAATGGTAAATGGTAAATCAGTCCTTCCAGAAAAATGCGGAGTTTTTTTTTGATTGTTGCGGGCAAAAATACTTGATTATGTGGCACGTTTTCTTAAAAAATGCGAATGAATATGCGGGATATTGCATAGTCAATTTTATGCGATTAAATTGCAGGAACTTGCAAAAATTGCGGTTTGATGAAAAAGAGAAAAAAAAGTGATTCCCCCAACACCCTGTTCTCACTAGTCTACTACCTTAATGTAAAGAGTCATTTCTTATTACTTCCTATGATAAGCAAGCATACTACATCACAGAAAGTGCTGGGAATATTTAAGTTCTCATCTTGTTTTATTTCAGACCTTAATAAACACATGGCTCAAACTTACAAAACATTGATGAGTCAAACATGTTCTGTAGCTTTACAAAAGGAATATGTTACAACTTCTGTAAAAATGAATAAATAAAATATTGTTATACAGATAGTGTTTTACAGAGGTAGCTATACAAAACAGACATCTTCTGTTAAAATAAGTCCTTCCAATGCACAAAGTGCAATCTTTTACTGTAATGTAAATTTACATACTACTAATATCATCGTGGGGTTTGCAGCTTTTCGATGATGTTCATGTTGCGTAATTACGTCACTTCATAACGTTCCCATGGCAACGGGAAAATGGCTGCTCTTGTGTTAAATAAACGAAACATTTTTCAACTTTCTGCTAAGATATATGTGACTTTTTTGCAATGAAAATGCAGGGATTATGAAATCATGCAAGCCCCGCATATTTTGCGCAGAAATCGGCAATTTATGCGGTGAAAGTGCGGCGTATTTGAAAAAACTAGTGCAGTGCCCGTAGGAAGTATGTATTGCTATAGAAAAGTGTGAGGTTAAGTAGCTTTTTAATGGATGGCTAAATGAGGTTGTGTTTGAAGGTGGGACGTCAGGGACATTGAGGACATATTATTTAGTCCTGTAATATAGGCCAGCATACATCAGAGAGAGAGAGAGAGAGAGAGAGAGAGATATTCGGGGATCCAGCACCAATTCTCCACACCCTCCTCTGTGTGAAAGTTTCAGATGCGGCGAGGGGGGAAATGTCGCTCCGTCCCTGATCCTCGTATTAGTATCAGGGACGCATTATTTTTGAACTGACTACAGTGTGAACGGATAAGCCAACGGCGCAGAGCGAGAGCGTGTCGGTCAGACAGTCTGATAACTGCACAGGGGTCTCATTTATATCCGTTGGGTACGCACAAAACTCGGCTGAAAGTGGCGTACGTGACTTTCCACGCCAAGGTTGTGATCTATAAAAAACAAACTTGACGGGAGAATGTGTGCAGCCCTTAGCAAACTCTGACCCATGCGTATGCATGGTTTAGAGGAAAAGGAGAATTGGCGACACAGACGGTGTGGTGGTGAACTGAAGTCAGACTGAAGAAATGTAGAGTGAGAACGATTATGTTTTATCATCGCCCTTCATAAGTTTAATTTCAACCCGTATCATGCGTTAAATCTATGTAATCAGAATGATTTAAGTTAACTGCGTTATTTCTCAGTTATTACTCCAGAAACATCTCCTTAGAATCGAAATGAAAATTCAAAATCAAAATTCTCTATATTTAATCCTGTCACTCCATAGCCCAGGAGGTGGAGAGGACGGCGCGACTGCATGGAATAAAGCATCTGTCCAACATGTGTCAATAAGTGTAAACACATAATCAAATGTCAATTAAATCCCAAGTGTGGAAAACCAAGCCACATACTCCTCAGCACAATCGTTATATTATTGTCCGTTCCTCCTGATGCTTTTCATGACAAATCAGACATTAAAAAGGGGTTACGTTCAAGAACATTTTACGTGGGTGATTACAAACTGATTATCCAACGTGTTCTCGGTCAGTCTGATTACCGTAAACCTATAAATACAGCGGTGAGCCCTGTGCGTAATGCTGCACCATGGCACTGCTGCCACTGCTGGAGGACCATGCAAATGGCAGGATTCGGAGGGAGAGGGTCTTCAGGGACCATAACGATTTATTGGCCCATGATGATGACTGGCTAATGAGCCGTTTTAGATTCCCTAGAGATATGTTCTTGGATCTATGTGCTGAACTGGGTCCAGTGTTTCATATAGCTACATCTTAGAACCTGATTTCACATTTAAGCATAATTGGCTCAATTCTGTTTTTTTTGTTTTCCACCCTGTAGATCCGGTATATCACAGCCATCTCTCAGTGCCATAATGCCTAGCGTTTTGAATGGCATCATACATATGGGCAGTCGATACATAAGGTTTCCCTACACAGTGGAAGAACAGGCCAAGATTAAAAGGCAATTTGTAGCAATGTCCGGTTTCCCAAACGTAATCGGCGCAATTGACTGCACTCATATTGCTATATGGGCTCCATCTGAAAATTAGTTTGTTTATGTCAACCGAAAGCACGTGCACACTATTAATGTTCAAGTTATATGTGATGCCCATATGATCTTAACAAACATAGTGGCACGTTGGCCTGGTGCAACACATGATTCCTTTATTCTGACACACAGTAGTGTAGGGAACAGACTACAGGCAGGCGCGGGGCGGGATGGCTGGCTTCTAGGTAAGTTTTAAAGAGAGGAAAAATGTAACATTGTGGTTCTTGACATAACTAATGATTTTCTGCCTTGCAGGTGACAGTGGATACCCCCTGAGACGCTGGCTCCTCACCCCGGTTTTGAACGTGCACAGCGCAGAGGAACATAGGTACAATGACGTCCATGCCCGTGCTCGATCAGTGGTGGAGCGCGCCATCGGCCTCCTGAAGTGTCGGTGGCGCGCTCTGGATGCATCGGGGGGAGGCTTTTATACCAGCCTGCCAGAGTGTGCCGCATTATAAGAGGCTGTGGCGTGCTGGATGACCTGCGGCTGAGGGCCCCTCGCCGGCATCATCGCAAAATAGCTTGCACTATACATGATCAATAATAATAATAAAAAATCTATAAAAAACAGAAATCAGCTTTACTTTGTTCTTCTGTGTTGTCAGTGTCTCCTTCCCTTTCAGACACGATGCCACTCACGCTTGCAGTGCCAATTATGGATGCTACTTTTGCGTCAATTGGTGTTAGGTCAGGAGTACTGGGTCCCCCCCCAGTTGCAGTCACGCTCTGGCGGTGTGAGGACAGCCTCCGCTTTGCATCCACCTGTAATTAACAATCTTCACTATACGATCAGTAACATTTGAGCAATAAATTATAAATGTGCAGTGCGTGAGGAAATAAAAATATGTACCTTTATGTCAGACCACTTCTTTTTTAATTCTGGGACTGTGCGCTCTGTGCCACTGACAGAGTTCACTGCTGCAGCAACATGTTGCCACTCACTCTGCTTTTTGTTGTTAGTGATCCCAGTCCCGTGATCGCCGAACAAAACTACTTTTCGGGCCTCCACCACAAGTGTCTCCACTTCAACCTCCGTGAAATTTTGCTTTTTTGCTTTTCTCAGTCCTTCTGCCATTGTTTCCGACAAGACATAATACTTGCATCTGAGTCTGTTTTATATGCAGATCGCATTCATGAGATCGTTTGCATTGACCATTTATGGTTAAAAAGGGGCGTGTACAGGGCGGGACGTGAAGCTGATTCAGCTGCACACACTTGTAGGCACTCTGTGATTTATAAAGCAAAGATTGCTTACAGGTGTGCGTACGCAGGGTTTTATAAGTCTGAATATTTTTTGGCGCACGCAAAACTTGGCTTTTGGGCGTACGTACACTTTTAGTAACGATCCCACGCACAGTTTTATAAATGAGACCCCAGGTCTCTCACTCAACTTAATAAAGAGAAATGTCCCACAAAGCAACGTTACAGGACCAAACAACAGTAACGTAGTAACTGTAACTGTCTTTGGAAACTTATATGAGGAAAAAAAATACCACAGCTGTACGTGGAGGAGCGTCTGTCCTCCTGTCTGTCCTCCCGCCTGTCCTACCGACTCTTCGTCACATTTCTGCCCGAAAAACAGCATCTGTCACCAGCGAAAGTGTTTGTGATCAAAAATCAAAAATCACCGCGACCGCCAGCCCTCCGGACCGAGACATCAGTTTACTTTCATTTTCCAGGATGTTTGGGCTCTGCAGTGATTGGCTCTGGTGTGCATGTGGCTACGGTGGCTGTAGTTGACAATGCTAGTGGAATTCGGAAATAATTTATGAAATAATTTATGAAATAATTTATGAAATAATTTATTAACGGTATCTTTATATCGCATAATCGCGTTTTTCTGAAGGGACTGGTAAATGGACTGTACTTATATAGCACCTTTCAAGTCTTTAGACCACTCAATGCGCTGTACACTACATGCCACATTCACCCCATTCATACACTGCAATGCAAGGTGCCAACTGCTCACCAGAACGGAAACTAATCATTCATATATGCACAGCATCGGGAGCAATTTGGGGTTCAGTGTCTTGCTCACAGACACTTCGACATGCAGCGAGAGGAGCCAGGGATCGAATCTCCAACCTGCCGATTAGTGGACGACCCTCTCTACCTCTGAGCTGAGCCTGCTAACCTACCAAAAAATTGCAGATAGTTAAACACAGACCAAATTAGATGACACAAGATAAAAACACAAGCTGCTCATTCATCATCCACATGTGAGATTTAACAGTTATTTCTAATTCTTCTTAATTTGGAGACATTTTCTTCCAGGAATAACTCTTCCCCTCCGTGCCTCCCTCTCCACTCTCGACTCCAGTAGATCAATGGAAGTGCCCAGCACAGGAATGTTGCTCAGGCTGACTGCATGACTGCATGACTCTAGTCTTGAGTTGCAGTTTGAACAAAACCTTCTGTGAGGCCTGTCACCTTCATATGCAGTGTACCGTACAGTAACATCCATTTGGGAGGAAACATCAGGCAACCTAGATTATCTTTTCCTTGGTGTAAAAAATATGGCTTTCAATCTCTGTGTCAAATAATGTATGCTTACGGTAATAGCAACACATCATTCTTGTTTTAACTTAAAAATACGAGTGAAAGGGCTACCTTCAAAGTTAAGTGAAAAAATACAATTTGTTCTTCCACCTTAACCAAATGTTATCTTGATTGATTGAAAAGGGAATGCTCATTTGAATTAAATTCATGAATTCATAAAAAATTATTCAGCAGTTGTTTGAATTTAAAAAACATCAATTTCAACATAACTAACACAACCTGTTGTGTTTGGGCCATTTCATTTAAATCTTTACCTTTACTTAACTCCATTCTGAGTTGTTTAAACTTCAAAATCCATTTGTACTAATCATTTAAAATCATGCTTAGCCAAATCTAATTAATATAATTACAATTTTATTTAATAAAATAAGTGTTAGTGACCTACAATAAATGTCTGAAGCATGTTTGTTTCAAAGAGAGACTTGAATGAAAATTCAGAATGGAAACTTGTCTGGTCCTTCCATGAAGTCCACCATGTTGAACCTTACCTTTCTACAGCAGCCCAGAATGGACAAACCAAACACTTGCTGTAGAAAGGGCCATTACTCTTATGTAACATGGCACTAAACCATACATACACAGAGAGAGAGAGAGAGAGAGAGAGAGAGAGAGAGAGAGAGAGAACCAACAAGATGCTGCAAATTCAGATGATTGGCCAGTGTGGGAAAGCCGAACACATACATTTTTTAAAAACAATATCAGAATAATGCTTTGAAATGTTGTTGAAAACACTTTGAATAAAATTTCTTATATTTTTCTTATATGTCTTATCTTTCACCCCCTGTACTCAAGATGATCAGTAGCGAAGCCCATTAGGGAGCGTAGCATGTACCAAATAGACATTGTATTCCTGTTGCTGAGTGAAAATGGGAGATGGCCAGTAGAACTGCATGATATGGTAAAAACATATTGAAAATATTCTGACTCATATCACAATCGCATTGTGATATGATTCATGATCAGCGGGAATGATCATTTTCACTCACAATCTACAAGAAGGGCCTGAGCCGGCTTTCCTTCCTGAGGAGGCTCAGGTCTTTCAATGTCTGCAACAGGATGTTGCAGATGTTTTATCAGTCTGTTTATCTGAGGTGTCCTGTGGTGCGGGCATCAAGGTAAAGGACACCAACAGACTGAACAAACTCATTAAAAAGGCCAAGTCTGTTGTTGGCTCTAAGCTTGTCACCCTGGAGGAGGTGGTGGAGGAGAGGATGCTGGCAAAACTGCTGGCAATCATGTACAATCCCTCTGTGATGGCCACAGCCATCTTAAAAGCGGTAACCTCATACACTTACACTTTCCTTAGTTCATGCTGTTTTTCCTTAAGATTGGTTTATGGACCTTTTCAGACACATCATACATTTTGTTGTAAACATTTATTTAGTTTAAATAACGTACAGGACACTATATACTTTATTTAGTTGACCATGCAAGGGTATCTTTTTGGAGTGCGCACAATTAGTTGTTTTTGGATTGTTTTCCTGTTATAACGGTTATCTTTTGAGCTTACCAGTGCTGCGGATTCCACACCCTGGAAAGGATGCATGCAGTCTGCTGGGTCAAAGGGGTGGGGCCTGGAACAAGAGCAGCTTTATAGGAGAGGTGGCCAAATTGGACACTGCCACTATTTGTTATGTCCGGGGGGTAGCTTTATTTTCTCCCAAGATATTTGAGTTTTGATTTATATTATATTAAGTATATTTATTCGGTTAATGTTAATTAAGATTACATTTCTTTTGGAATAAGTGTTTAGTTGTTTTTTTTTGTTATTTGTAGTTTATGTACTAGTGTTATTGTTAGTCTCCCTCTGTGTGTCAAACCTGGTCTGATCAGCCAGTATAAAAGTCCCCTTTGTTTCTCTTATGTGAGGTCCGTTGTATTTTTGAGTTTGTTATGTTCAGAGCTTAAGTATGGTCTGTTTGTCTGACCTCTTTTAAAGGGCCCAAACTTTATCTTTATTTTGTTGTAATGATTTTTTTTGGTAAAATAAAAAACCCTTCTTGAAATTGTCTTGTGACTCCTCTTGCCTAAATGCTTGGTCCCTCACACCCTCTCACCCCCTCCACACAACACAATAAAGAGCAGTTTCAGCAACAGACTCATTCAACCCCGCTGCTCTAAGGAACGATACAGAAAATCGTTCCTCCCCCACTGCAATAAGTCATCTGCCTCTGTCAGATCCACAATCACAGAACTGGACTAAATCTACCTGTGGAACATATACTTCATATCATATGTGATATGTGTTAATATATACCATGTTGATATTATATATCATATTTATACGATATTGTAACGGGCTGTGTATTGACTGTTGTTGTTTGTGTTCAGTTAGGTTGTACTGCAGTGTATGGGTTGCGGGAGGTCTGAGGGGTGGCGCTGTCAGAGGCTGTGAAGCCTGTCAGTCAGTACGGTTGCCATGGCAACAGGATGTGTGCGAGAGCGCCTGTGATTGGTGCATTGTTCGGGCGGCTGTGGATCAGAGGCAGAGCGGGTCGTTCCTTAATCGGAAGGTTGTGGGTTCGATCCCAGGCTCCTGGTGCCACATGTCGAAGTATCCTTGAGCAAGATACTGCTGAACCCCAAATTGCTCCTGATGCCGTGCATCGGTGTGTGAATGTGTATCAATGAGTTAGTTTCTGTTCGATGGACTTTGCCACCACTGAGTGAATGTGGAGTGGAGTGTGTGGAAGGGTGAATGTGGCACGTAGTGTAAAAGCGCTTTGAGTGGTTGGAAGACTAGAAAGGCGCTATACAAGTACAGGTCCATTTACCATTGTTGGGGGGCTCTGAGTGAGAGTTGGGAGAGACGTGGAGTGTTAATGTTGATAGCGATATTTGCCTGTTTTTATTGTTTTGGCGTTGGCTGCGGCCTACAGTAGCCTGTGTTCAAGCTGTGGAGAATAAAGACCAGCTAAACCAGCTCCTGCTTCGTAGCTCATTATTCCGGGTCGCTACAATATATTATTATTAATTACTCATTATAATATATAATATATTATTTATTATATGTATATCTTTCTTGTATAGTCAAGTTTCTATTATACATATGCTATATATCATATCATATCTCGTATATATATGTGTGTACATATTATATATACATATTATTATTATTATAATATATTATTATTAACAATAACACTACCTTCATATCATCAGTACTATTGCCACCATCTTGCACTTACAACTTCTGTCATCCCCTTTCTCTCTTAGTCACATTTCATGTTTTACTTTGATGTTTTTAGTTTAAAGCTTTGGGATGTTCAGTGTAAAACAAGCCATCAAGAGCAAGGAAAGTCTACATTATCCCTATCACATGCTGTTATGTTGCTAGCAGTGAATTAGTGGTGAATAAACCAGCTGTGGAGTGCCCTGGTAGTTCACTTGGTAGAACTGGCGCCACATGTACCAAGGCGAAGTCCTTGTCTCAAGCATATCCTGCTTTATCTTCTATTTTACTTTAAATGGATCCATAATTTACTAAATGAACATCATGCTGTGCGAAAGAAGACTTGAAACTACAGATTGAGACCATAAACTCATTAGGAAACTGTTCACTGAGATAATAAAATCATTTCTCCATAAGACTCAATATATATGACTTCTCTTTTCAGCCCATTGAGCTGTCCCCAACTGGCCATTAGAAAGAATGCAAGTTTAAGACACTCCACAGACCAGGAAGCTCAGTCCACTAATTATATACTGTCAACCCCATAGTGTATGAAGGTGCAGTATAAAAGGTGATTTTCATTCAGGAGACTGCTGTTCAAGTCTTGTGAGAAACCAGTCACTGTTGACTTTTTTAAGCTAAGCATGTTACCATAACATTCTTAACATGTCAGGTACATAACATATCCTAGAGTCTTCTTAAATTCAGTAAGTAAGTAATTTTTGCCAAAAGTAACCAAAATTGGTTACTCAGCAAGCTTCATTTGAAAGTGTAACCGGATGTTGCATATTTATTATTGTTAACTTCACAGAATGACAGAGAACATGTTGAAAATGTGACACTGGCACAGTGGACTGGTGTGTGTATTAGGGTTTGGCAGGTTGAGTATTTACTATATTGAACTGATGCATTTTATTTTAAAGCCTCTA